TTGTGGATGAGCTTGGTCCGGATTGGCGGTATTGGGATGTGTTGACGTGAATACAATTATAATACTACCAATCTGCACATGCGGATACTACATGTAATAGAGGTGAATACAACCTCAATACAATCGATTCGCATGTGCGGATATTGCATGTAGTTTTCGCTCGAAAAACAAAGACATTATGTTGATAAATATAACAAATCATGAGAATGAAATGATTGGAAATGAAGATTACTGGATGGTATTGGAGAAGATTGTTGATTATTGTTAAGCGAATCGCTTCCAGAAGCTCGGGATCGTCGACTTTGCGGTCGGTGGAGCTGCGAGAGAGTGCTGATATCAGTAAATAATAGGGGCGTTTACAGATATACCACTTAATTCTTATGTATTTGCATATCCAAACATCAAAGTTCTGATTTTTTTACATTTATATTACAGAAGGCATTCATATCACATAAAAAGCCCCGGTATTTTCATTTCTAAGAGTGAAATGCACCTTTTTCATGCATAAAATAATATGTATGTAAAAACTGAAAATAAAAAAAAACATCATTTTAACTTTTTAAAATGTAAAATATAACTTATCATGAATAGATAAGGTGACATGTATGAAAAAGTAAGTTTAGGTGATAGCTACGTAAAAACATAAAAATCGAATTTTTTGTAAGTATACCGCTGAGGGTACGTTTGGGACGACTATGACTTTCAAGCTGCTGCAGAATAATTTACTGTTTAAAAAGCTGCGGTGATTATTATAATTTTTTTTTTCAAAATGACAGGCCGTAGCATTCTAGCAGTCACCACACTTAGCCAGGTTACTTTGCAAAATGCAGTTTTCCACCACAATTTTTTTGAAAAAATAAGAAGAACACAGTGTTGCCAAACACAAAAAAATATGATACGACACCGCACTGCAACCGCACTGCCGCCCCAAACACATCCAAAATCAAAACAATTGATACTTACGCTTTAGTGATAGAAAACCTGTTGTGCTTGCCAGATGAGTCCAGGTATACATTAGCCTTCACAACATTGAGGCCTAAACTCTTAAGCGCATGCATCTACATATAAAAAAAAATGTTAATTTGATTTTAAAAATAAAAAATGTAAAGAGAGATTTGCATACCTGCCCCACAATTATGTATTAACATATCAA